CGCCGAGCTCCCCGGGCCGCCGCCCGCTTCCCCGCGCACCTAGCTCCTGCCTTTGCTTCCAGATGCTGCGAGTCCTGCAGACCTAAGACGAAGTAAGTCCTGGGGGTTTGCGCTGAGCGGCCGCTTCTGGGGTTCGGGCCCCAAGAACAGGGAGGCGCAGGGAGGCAGGATCTGCGTGCGGTCCGCAGGAGGGGCTGCTCGGGTGGACAAGGCGGGGAAACCCGGGAGGCTGAGGATTGCATTAAAGTTCCAAAGTTGAGAACCCTGCAAGTCCGCGTTAGCGGAGCCCTTTGTCCCACGGTGCCCAAGGACCGGAGTTCTTAGTTCCTCCTGCAATTTACAGTCGCTTGGGACACTTAAAATCCAGATGCCCAAGGCTTTCCCTGAAGTCCCTCCGAATCTCCAGGGTGGAACCCAGGCTTGGTACTGAAATGCACCCCAGGTGATTCCAGCCTGCATCTAGGGTTAGGAACCACCCACCACAGGCAAGAGGGGAGGGCTGTCCTTGGACCTCCTGCTGTCCAGCCTGTAGTCAGGCTGCTTCCAGTGTCCTGCTTGGTCCCGTGGTGAGGAGAGGACTTCCCTTGCGATTATGGAGTACAAAATAAGAAAATGAGACCATGTTTGGCGGGATCGACTGAATATCATAAGCAAAAAGTCTCAAACAAGCAGCAATGTCTTGGCATGTTGTGAAAAACATACCGAATGACAGATCATGATGTCCTGTTGGTTCTGCACCCTGGGGCATGCCTAGATTGTCGGTATTTGAAATTAAGTCTTGGGAAATCAGTAAATCCTGCCTGGACAACTCCTGTGCCTTTGGCTTCGAAAGGGAAGCCAGAGGTGTGCTCTCCCGAGTGTGGGAACTGTCCTCCCTAGAGCTCCCTGTTTAAGATTTATTTATCACAATCAAAAGTAGTTGAACTGAGGATGTTAGAGAGGAGTGGATTGCCTGTTCTCCCCTGGGGGGAGACGCCTAGGGCAGGTAGCTGGAATCCAGGCAAACAGACAAGGGACAGGCATCTACTTATATTGAGCAGATTTAAAACCCACAGCAAAGAGGTGGAAGAGAGGTGTTGCAAGAGAAGTAGATTTTATTTTTTTGTGGAATGGAGAAAAAGCTCAAACTTCAGAGCCCATTAAACTTGGGTCCAAATTCTGATTCAGTCACTTCTGCGATATGAGACCATGGATAAGTTACTTGACCTCTCTGAGACCCTGTTTTTGAACCTATAAAATGGGGAGGAAATAGTGAGGCTGTTTCTCCTGAGGCTGCTGTAGTTCAGTGAGATGACGTGCATCAGACCCCTGTCAGGCTGGGCGGTGCATGGCAGGTGCTTTGTCATTGGCAGTTCTTAGTCACAGTTAAGAGCCTCCTTTCAGTCATCCTCCAGTTCCCAGCTTCTTTCTGGGAAAATTCCTCTTTGGTGCATCAAATGCTCTTTGAGCACAAGTGATTCTTCCTGTCTTGCCTCTTGTGATAAGAGGTGAGGAGTTGCTGCCATTTCAGTTAATTAACAGATTTTAACCCAAGCTAGAAAGTCTTTCAAAGTGCCAGGCATGGTACAGCATAGGTGGAATCCCAGGACTCAGGAGGCTGGGACAAGAAGATCACTGAGAGTTCAAGACCAGCCTGAGCTACACAGTGAGTTCAAGGCCAGCCCAAACTCCACAGCAAGACCCTGTCTCAAAAAAAAAAAAAAAAAGCCTTTCAAAGCAAAAGTTTGTTGAAGTATGACTTCCCGGCTTAGATTTTTAAATAAATGTGAGTTTTATCTGGAACTGCCACACACCAGGCTGTGGGCAGAGATTACTACACAGAGTGGCCTAGGCAAGCTGGCCACCTCCCTCCCCTTTGCTTTCCTCCCAGCCTCTGAACCCACGGAGTCAGCCGGGGATGCTGTCACTCTGCAGGGATCTTACCTTGGACCTTTGATGGAGCAGAGTCCCCAGCAAACAATGTGCTTCTTTAGAGCCAAAAGGCAACTTTGTGTTGTGCTTCATTAAAATCAGTAGGTTGCTCTGCAGTAAGCAGCCACTTTGGAATTTGTTTTGCTACGGAGTCATTTTCCTTTAACTTACAGCAAACTATCAATTAGAGGACCAATTTCTGGGTCAAGGGCCCAGGTAATTGCTAAATGAGCACCAGATTAGCACCAGATTTTGCTAGATGTTCGTGTGTGTGTGTGTGTGTGTGTGTGTGTGTGTGTGTATTTGTGGTGCAGGGGGAGGGGTGGATTCATAAATCAAGAAAATGCACCCATTGTATGTTTATTTCCAAAAGTCAATATCCTTTATCCATCTGCTGTATCATTGCTACCGCATAGCTTAGTGTCAGAAGCATTGGGACCTAGTAGACATTTTCAGAGCCACACATGACTAGGCAGGGCAATTACACAGTGCTGAAAAAACTCCGAATGGAGTGGGAGAACTGTGAGCAGAATACTGACTTGAAAGAATGTTGCGTCGTTCTACTTCCCAAAAGAGTAAAGTTCTAATGACCAAGAACTTCTTGTGCTTTGCTTTACACATCACTGCTGTCTGTAATGTCAAGACCAAACCTCCTGGAGGAGACTGGGTTGATCACTGGGATTTCTTGGGAGATCTCCTAACTCTTTATAACACAGAATGGTAAGTCTCTTCTTTTAGGTGACCATTCCTGGCTCTATTTCATAAGGCTCATGTTTCATATTTAACACAAAATCAGTCGTGCTGACAGTTTCAGGTGGAGATACGAGATCTACAACAAATACCAGCTAGGCAAGACTTACATGGAAGAAACCTTGGGTTTTGGAGCGAGAGTTGGCATCACGGTCCTGTTTTGTTCTCTGCCATGTGAACTTGGTCAAGATTTTCGGCCATTCCAACCCTATGTCCTCCCTTGTAAAATAGTTCTTTCCTTATAGGGCTTTTGTTACTTGATGAGTTAATCCACGCAAAGGCTTGGCACACCACCTTGCTTTCAATGACCAGTGATTATTTTGGTGATAATAATTATGAGGGCAATTTGTTTCCAGTGTGGTCTTGCTGTTTTTTATTTACATGACTTGAGTAAAACACATACAAGTGTCAGTTTGGGGTCTATTCAATGGGGGTGGCTCTACCTACCTGGAAGGATTGGTTTGAGGCTTAATTTATTAAATGAAATGAAGCTGTGTCTGATCTAATAGACCCTACAACACTGACATAGGCTTACTGTGTGCTAGCAAGGGTTCTACGGTTTTTATTTTTCCTTTGGTTAGTTTTTGTTTTGCCTGTTTTTCACCTTATTTAGTCTTCCTAACAACCCTATGAAGTCAGTAGTTATCGTTTTCCCTGTTTTGCAGACAAGACAGCTGAGGCTCCCTGAGGTTAAATATCTAGCCCAGAGAGGAAGTGCTGTGTCCAGTGCTTCTTAACCTCTGGCCCACCTACCTAATGAGTGGCCCTCCCTTCTGCTTGCCCCACCCACCTGACCACACCCACCTCCTGTCATTGCCAGGGCTGTGCAACAGATGGCTCTACTTCTAAACATAGGGCTCGTCCTGCATATGAAGTGAAAGTGGGGTTTCTTTCTCCTGCTGCTCAGATAACTTTTAAAGTTCAAATATTGCTTAGACTGTTTGGCCTAATTCAGATTTTTGTTTTAAAAGCCCCCTCATTCTGATATTGACTATAGCAGTGGATTGTGCTTATTTTGTGATGAATGTCATCTACATGCACTGAGACTGTTGGCCTGGGTGTAGTAAAGCATCCGTTCATCCAGGCAGATGTTTAGGAGCACAGAAAACAGGCCCAGAATTTCCTATTTAACAGAGCATTCCACGGAAAGTACAGTGGCCTGGCTGGGCGTGGTGGTACATACCTGCAATCCCAGCTACTTAGAAGACTGAGGCAGGGCGATTGCAAGTTCAAGGCCAGCCTGGGAAATATAGTGAGACATTGTCTCAAGGCATAATTAATCAATCAATTAATTAATTATTTTAAGGGGCTGGGGATGGAACTCAGTGGTAGAGTTCTTGCAGGGTAAGGCCATGGGTTCAATCCCCAGTACCACAAAAATAAAGAAAGAAAGGAAAGAAAGAAAGGAGGGAGGGAAAGAGGAAGGCCTGTTCTAAGTATGTCCCCTGTTTTGAAATTTCTCATTCATCCTTCCTCTTCTTTTTTACTCCATTCACTTTCTTGAGATCTGGCAGGCTTCCCAGTGGAACTTGAGGGCCAGAGAGACAAATTCTTAACTGAGTGGGTTGTAGATACTGTAGTATTTCCTACAAGGAGGTGAGAATTTCTGGCTTTCCCAGGAGGTGAAATGCTTTGCTGGCTCTGCAGCCTGGTGTTGAAGACTTTTAGAAAGCTATTGATAGCTCCTGGTTCATCCTGGCTCTTTGGGCATTCATTTTGTCAACATGAAAGAATAAACTTTGTAGAAGGTCTGTCTGGAACTGGGCATTTCCTGAAGACTTTAGGATGTAGCAATGAATAAAACAAACCCAGTCTCAGGGCATATGGGATTTTCAGGCTGTCTCTGTAAAACAAATGAACATAGACTTTGTGGCTTAAACCACTGACATTCTTTCCTACAGTTCCAGAGGCTGGAAGGATGAGATTAGAATGCCAGCATGGTCCACTTTGGTGGTGTTCTCTTACTGGCTTGCAGGTAGCACTTTCTTGCCCTGTCCTCATGTGGGAGAGGGAGAGACAGAGAGGGAGGGCAGGAGGTGTCTCTCATGTCCCTTCTTATAAGGACACCAGTATCTTCACCGGGGCATCATCCTCAGATCTCCTCATCCTAATCACCTCCAAACACTATCACAGTGGAGATTAGAACCTCAGCATGTGACCTTCTGGGAACTTACACATTCGGTCCATAGTAGGGGTGAGTGTAAACATACAGCTAAATACAAAATTATAAATTCTGAAGAGTGCTCTGAGTGGAAATAACACAAGTCATGAGACAGAAGTAACAGCTGTTCTGGGATTGGGGAAATCTGGGATGTTTTCTAGGAATGAGCCTTTTCACTTAGGATTTGAGGATGCACTTAAGGAGTGAAACCATGCCAGATGCAGGGAGCAGGATGTCTGAAGCCCTGAGGTTGGAAGGACCTGGGTGTGTGGGGTAATGAGAGCCCAGCCTGGTGAGGCCAGGGCCCAGGAGGGTACAGAAAGGAGCTAAACCTTAGATTATACTTAGCCCAGGCAGAGCCTCCTGGGCTAGGTAAGGATGCAGAATTTTATTCTAATTGCAGTGAGAAACTATTGAAGAATTTTGTCCCCATCTTTTCCCTATCAATAGTTTATAAGAAAAAGATAGTTAATGAACTGATCTTAATCTGTTTTTTCTTGCTATAGCTGAATACTTGAGACTATGTAATTTATAAAGAAATTTGTTTTGGAGAAGTCCATTGTCAAGGATCTATATCTGGAATTCATGAGAGGTAGCCAAACTGGATTCTATAACAGACCCACTCATGATAACTAACCCACTCCCTCAATAACCCATTATGTCAGTCAGCTTTCCATCACTGTGACAAAATACCTGAGAAAATCATCTCAAAAGGAGGAAAATTTACTTTCACTTACAGTTTCAGGAGTATCAGTGCATGGTCACTTAGCTTTGGCTTTGTTCCTTTGGGCCTATGAGGAGGCAGAGCATCATGGTGGTGTGAGGCAAGAAACTACTCACCTCAGGGTGCCTAGGAAACAGAGAAAGACAGAGGAAGGTACAGGGGTCACAACATCCCCTTCAAAACCATGCTCCCAAATGACCTAACCTCCCTCCACTGGACCCCATGTCATAAAAGTTCCACTACCTCCCAATAGCACTGCAGGCGGGGACTGAGATCTTACCATCTGTGCCTCTGAAGGATAAGTAGGGTCCAAACTATAATACCTGTAAACCTGCAAGTCCATTAATTCTTTAATCAATGAGTGGCTTAATGCATCAAGAGGATAGAGCCTCCATGACTCAGTCCCCTCCCAACTCCTAATTCCATGAACTACGACTTTGAGGATCAAGTTTCCAACACATACATTCTGGATGACAAATATTCAAACCATACTAACCCCTACTTATTAGCTTTACAAACACTGTTAAAGAGTGAAACAATTCTGGAGGGATAGACTTAATGGTTTTCAATTTCCAGGCAAAAGAACTAGGCCTAGAAAAAGTGAATGAAGGCAGGACCAGGATTCGGAGTCAGGCATGCTCAGCCTACAGCACCTGATCTGTAGTCTTCTGGGACAGGTGAGGACCCCCAAGGCAACCAGCATCCTTCATCAGGAGCAGCAGTGGATGGTCTCTGGGGGATGCTAGTTCATCTTGGATCCTGGAAGCAGGAACAAAAGATCCCAAAGAGCAGAAGGAAGTTGAGAGTGTGCAAGTCAGGGGATCAGGGTCTGCAGGCCCCAAATGCCCAGGACTTTCAGTTTAAGGGGCAGAGGAAGAGTCAGTGTTTTTGCATCTGTTCTGTGCCCTCTGCTTGTAGCTCAGCACTCGTAAAAAGGGGCTCTTCCCCCACTTTGTTTATTTTGGGGAATGCAAATTCATCTTCTGATGAATTTGCACATACTTTCAGGGTTTGGAAAGAAGAAATTCTTTATTTGGAGCTCTCAGGTCACAAGAAAAGCCTCCACCATGTGGGGCCAAGCTCCTGGCATAGCCTGCTAGTTTGCTTCAGGCAGCTTCACATACCTTCTCTCCTGCCTCTGGTGTATCTGGTGTTTTGGGCAGGTCTTCATCTTCGTTAGCTAGGATCTCACTCACGGAGGCTCAGGCTGCCCGGCTCTGATGAGGATAGTCCAGGGTTTGTAGTTGGGTCATCCTCTCAGTGCTGATTGCCCCTCAGAGTCAATGCACATGGATGCCCAGCTGCTCTCTGGCTGAGCTGTGTGAAGGATTTGTGCTGCAGATGCTGCCTGGTTGTACTTATGTGTTAAGTGGGGTGACATAAGTCTTCAGCCAAGTCTTTGGCAGGCAGTCAGCAGGGTGTTTATTTGCTCACAGCTGAGTTTTAGCGCATACTTTTGTGGTGACTCATATGTTTTGTTCTTGTGAAATGCTTTGCATTTGAAAAGCTGTAGACCCTTTCTGTGTTAGTGCGAAATGTGTTCTGATGTTCTGCAGCTTCTGGATCTGTCCCTTGTGTACCATTTTCTTCCGCCTCAGTAGTTAATCTCTTTACAGAATTCCAGGACCTGGGTTTTTGAATCAAGGCTATGTGAAATGCCACTGGCTCTTGTTATCAAGATGTTTTTGTTGAGGCTGGGGATATAGCTCAGTGGTAGAGCACTTGCCTAGCGTACATGAAACCCTGAGTTCCATCCTCAGTACTACAAAAAAAAAAAGGTCTTATTCACTAAAAGAAAAGAACTCTAATGGTTTTGCAAATTTGTTTTTCAAAGCCTGGGTCAAGCCAGGAAAATGTCAATCAATAGTTGCAAATCAGTCCCATAATGCACTGTGGGGGGCATGGTCATCAAGCAGCAGGTGATTAGTAGCAAGCCATTGTCCAGATAATGCTTTGGAAATTGAAAACTGGGCTCTGGTTAATCTTTTTAAGGCAGTAGCTAATATGAAAGACTTAGAGCAGTAGGAAAGGTTGGTGATGCAAATCTGAATTCACTAATCATCCTGAGAGGTGGCAACCCTCCCACCTCCAGTGAACCTGTGAATTATTGAAATGCCCAACGAAGGCCCTGCTGTGGCCATTACCTGGGGCCAGAGCCACTCATTGGACAGGTTTTATGGAGCATCCTCTGTGTGCTATAGATGCAGTAGTTGACCAGATGGATACTATCTCCAATTGTCAAGTGCTGTGTCTCAAAGATGACCCAAGACTACCATCTTGTACAGCATGGCCAGTGCTAACTATGTGACAAATGCTGTTCTAAACATTGTATGTATATTAACTCATTGCATCCTGAAGGTGATCCTATGAGATAGGTGCTCTTATTACCTGCATTTCACAGATAAGGACATGGAGGCCTAGAAGGGAGGGTTATTTGACCAGATTACACAATGATCAGAACCAGGTAGTCTGGTAGTCTTTGTCCTTCACTGCCACTATCAACTGATATGAAAGAGTCAATTTAGAAAAGAAAGTACCACATCCTTTGAAACAGGAATTCCATTGGGCAGGAATCACACACACACACACACACACACACACACACTTCCTCTTTCTGACAGTGTCAGTCCCTGCTGGGACATGGGGGAGACTGCTGCTGAGGAGCCTACTTAGCCAGAAGTAAACAAAAGAAGCAATGGCCTCAGTGCCAGGAGGGGTGGGCTCTAGTTTTGTGTGATCCAGACAAGTCTCTGCCCTGCTGAAAGCTTCAATTTCCTCATGTCCAACACAGCCGAGGCCGAGGGTTCCTGCAGGGTAGACGGCTGCCCTATGGGCACTCTGAACAGGGCTCCTGGAGCACAGGAAAGAGGCACTGGCCCTGAGAAATGTGGGGTTGCTATGGAAGGGTGTCTGCCCTTAGCAGTCCCACCCCTAATGCTTAGTCGGCCGTGGCTGCATTCCTTTCTTTGTGGGCAGGTGGCAGTGTCTGCCTGTCTGGGGTCCAAATTACATGGTGTTTCTCCATGAGAGAAAGACATTGGGGAGCAAGAGGGGAGAAGAGAGAGGAGAGAGGAGATACCAGAGGACTAATTTCTTTCTGCTTGGAAATTCTGACGGACTAAGTGCTTTGGGATAAAGTAAATGATTAAGAGTGTGCAATAGTCATCACCGCTTCTGCTGCCTGCTCCCTGTTCTCCAGGCACTGCCTGGAGTTGCCTGGTGTGGCTTGGGGAGTGGATATGTTTTCCAGGTTAAGTTCCTTAAGAAATTGAAAACAAATGAAGAAAAGAGGAGGTGAATGTGGATTTTTGTGTAGCATGCAGCAGAGTAAGGACCCAGTTTGTTGCCCGCTTGCCTGTGTTACCAAGGCATCTTTATCAATATGGTATAAACAGACTTGACTTTAGCTTCCTGTAGATGCTACTGGGCTGGGTTAGTCTTCCTGCCTTTCTGCTGGGCAATTTAAAGATCACCCTTGTTGTCCACATAGTGTCGTTACCCCTGAGTATCCCAGTGGCTCATGTTGATAGAGGCAGTATAATTGTTCATCACTTGTAAAACTCCTCTACTGAGGAGGCTCTGAATCAAAGTCACCACAATGAACCTACTGAAGAGAGAAGTAGTTTCCTAAAGGAGAATCCAGATACTATCCCCAGCATTCATGGATACATGTGTTCAGGTTAGGCCTGGGGTTATGATCACATTGGTGGATCTAAAATGTTTTGATTGGCATTTTGCCATCTGGATAATATCAGTTCTAAGGCAGGCAGGCACCTCCTTGAGGTAGGCAAAACATGATGATTTTGACTTACACTAATTCAATAAGTATATATCAATCAAGTATTTTTGTTGTCTAGGACTGTGGTTGACAGAATGTTCTGGATGCTTGTATTGTGTATAACAAGTTCAGGCTTTGCTTTAGATGTTATTTGCTGCTTAGACTTTAGTGATAAAGTGCGCTTCACACAAAAAGAATCCAAAGTGTACCCATTTGGGTGCAGAGCAAGTATTGGTCCCTTGGACATCGTCTACCTGCTGCTGAGAATTCAGAACTGAAGCACTGCTGGGATCAGAATGGTACCCAGAGGCAGTTGAGCTGAGACTGTGCTGAAATGTTCAGAGGTCTATGTTACAAGAAAAGAAAGTGAAATACAAGATAAAGGAAATCTTGAAATGCTTGTAACCATGGAGCATTTTCCTCACATGGTATTCTTTTTTTTTTTTAAAGAAATAAAAGAAGGAAAACATATTAACAAACAGACTTCCATTTATAAAACAGCATCAGAACAATACAAACAAAACAGAATTACAGACAAAGTTGTAGGAAATTAACAATTGCTGTTGTAGTACTTATTCATATCTTCAAAGTGGTTTCTCAAGAAAACAAGTAGAGACATACAAGACTGATCAAACAAGTAATCATTAACTGTTCCTTTCTGTAGAGCGACAGAAGACAGTCCTGTACATACATACTTACATAATTTCCCCTTCTTTCCCTTCTCTTTTCCTACACCCCAGTTGCCCTTTACTTTTGAACATTTTCCTTTCGTTTCACAATATCTATCATACCTCCTAGTTTTTATTTACTCTTTCAAGTCTTACACTAGTGAGACGATATGATTCTTACACATGCAGGTCTGATTTATTTCACTTATGAGTATGGTCTCTAGTCTCACATGGTATTCTTTGAGGTCCTACGATTTAAAAAAAAATTACTTGAAAATCTGCTTTGTTGATTTTTGCTCTGTACTATTTTTGTAGACATTTATTTTTTACTTGATTCCTTATTTCAAACCAGGATATGAGTTGATTGTCTCTTCCTAGATTGAAGATAAAATAAATCTGTTTCTGCCCACAAATGTATCAGACTTATTGTGTTAATTCCCCAAACCAGGAAGAGCTTTTCATTCATTGTCAATGGTGCACAGGAAGAGTTTTGCATTCTGCCTAAGTGTGTTTGGTGTTCAAGAAGCATCTTTTGGCATTTTCTTCGGTCTCTTAGAATAAGATGATCTATAGATGCATCCTTTGGCATTTTCTTAGGTCTCTTAGAATAAGATGATCTCTAGATGTATCCTTTAATGTAGTAGCTTCTGTCCTGCAGAAACTGCAGACTCACAAGTGTAGGGAGAGGGCTGCAGTGAGCTCCCTTGGCCTAAAACCATCTTAAATATCTCTTCTCTACTTCCAGTCTTGATTGGCTTTGGACAACTCACTTGGCCTTCTACAGACTTCAGTGTCCTTGTGGATTGAGTGCTCTTATAGGAAGTTATTTTATCAGTCAGATTTTGGGCAAGGTTGAACCACAGTGACAGATAATTCATAAATCTAAGCAGCTTAAACAGCCAACATCACAAGTTGGCAAGAGGCTACACACATTGTAGTTATTTATGATCCCGGGCTGGTGGAGCAGCCACTGTCTCAATGGTGCTAGCCCTAGTGCTAGAAGAAAAAGAGAGTTGCACACTAATGAATTCTGCGTTGATGCCTAAAACTGCCTGCCTGAGTGACTGACCTCTGACCCCATCTCATGAGTCAAAGCAAAGGGGTGGGGAATGTCATGCAGGTCCCTAAGCAGGACATCTGAGCTATTTAATCAACAGTGTAATTATACCACTATGTTGGTCTTTAACAACGGGGTGGGAAGGTCTCCAAAAGCTGTCCTATGGTCAGTAAAATCATATCTCACAAGCTAGGCTTTCTTTTTTTTTTTTTGGTACCAGGAATTGATCTCAGGACCTTGCGCTTGCCAGGCAGGCACTTACACCAAGGAGCTGTACCCCCAGCCCCCATAGACCTCTCTGTATATGACATCATTGCCTTTTCCTGTGGCTACCAAGGTTCCTAAGCAGCAGGATGTTTGGGAACTGATATCTCAAGAAAGGAAGGAGATCAGGGATAA